CGGGAAGGCTGAAAGTATTTTGTACAGCTGTCATAAAACCAGCTGGGTGATCTTTTTTTGTGAGGTCTTACAAGTGGAACCAAGAATTGAAAGATGTTTCTTGCAGAAACTTAATGGGGTGTTGCATTGGGTTTATTTTGATTTGTCATGAACCATCTCTCATCTTGGAGATCTGTATTGCTTATCTCACTTGGCCAAATTAGACCGAAGACAGACAGAACAAGTAATAAGTAAAATTGCCCCTAGCAAAACCAAAACCAAACAGAAAATCATAATTTTTAAATCTTTCTTTCTTGAAGGGCATTAATTATAAGCAGGAAGGCTCAGCAGTGTTATTTTGCTGCTTGCAGGTGTGGAGGATTAATTTCTTCAGTGTCAGCACTACCTGTGGTCATCAGTTACAGAGGAGAAAATAAATGTTTATTTTTGGGGGACTGCTGCCCTCCTCTGGCAGCTGCGCTTAGCCTGGCTGGGAGACAGGGCTGAGTCCAGGGTATGAAGTGTTGGCTGCGGCTGTCAGGAGTGTCTGTTTTAACTCTCTTCACTCTTGAATTCTTCAAAAAGGTTAGGCCAGGTTTTGCTTTCAGACAGGCAGGTATAACCTGCCTCTGGTGCTCTGAACACTGCGTGTCTGACAAACATTTGAACAGCTTGCAGACAACAAAAATACTTTCATGAGCTGCAACCTAGGCAGACTACCTCACCTGCATACTGCCTCCTCTACAGTACACTCTGCTGTCAGGTTCCCAGCAAATACCCTTTGTTCTTCTGTCGTGCAAACTTACGCCAAGCTTGGAAACGCTAGTTCACTTGGCTATATAAAATAAATTTACCATAGAGCAGGTGAGTTCAACAGGTCTGCCAGGTCCTGGCCAATTCAGAGGGACTTGAATGCTTGTGGTGTACTTTCTTCTCCTTTTTCCCAGCTTGAATTGGTTATATGTTATCATTTAACAGGACATTTTACCAATAATGTGCTTAGGGCTTCCTGCTGCCTTTAAAAATGTAAACATGATGGAGAATGTGGTTACGAAGGCAGCAAAATTTTAAGCAAAGGCGTGGTGATGTTCAGCACCGCTGAAATGCCTGTATCCTTCCCTGTTCTTCCCCCCATTATGAGCCTCGTCTTTCAGAGGCACAGGGCCCATCCAGTTGCTGCTGATTTCAATATGTTATACACATACAGTATATTGGAAAAAAACCCAATACTGGAACATACTTTTCTACCACAAAGGAGAAAAAAAAATTACTCTTTATCAAGTGCGTTGCCAACAGTGAAATTTTCGTACTTTAGAAGACCCTGCTCGTTACTGTTTGAGATTCATCTTGGATCTCCTAAAATAGTGTGAGATTTGGGGATGGACTAGTGGACAGTACAAAGAAGGGGAAACTGAAGCTTATAAAAGTTTCAAGAATGATTTTCACTTGCCTGCCTACTCAGATCATTGCATTGTAAATTAAGGGTAAGATGTCTGAGATCAGGAA